AGTTGAGGAAAGAGGAAAAAGAGGGGTGTATTAACAGAGGAATCCACACAAAATATGTCACTACCGCTCAGAAAATAGTGCTGGCTCTGAGCAAACAAGCATAATCCTTCGACAAGAAAGAGGTTTGCTTTCTAATCAACAAAGGAGTGACATAGCAGAGTCTGTTTCACTGCCACTGAGTACTGTTGATAGCTCTGCTCCAGACTTCAAAGTTCCCTTTTTCACCAAAAAATACTCTTGTATTCCTTTGAAATCCCTCAAGTTCACAAACCAAGAACCATTCTTAATCCATGCTTTGATCTGAATTTTTGAGATACCGGACCATTGATCCCCCAACCCCTCACTTCGCTGTTTGCTGATGATATTTCTTGAGCTTCTTGCCGTACAAGCTCATGTGCTCCTTGCTCATCGGAGGCTGGATTTGAAGTTCGCATTCTGCACATATACTTTATAATCACCCTTTTGCAAAGTTAACCTTCAGATTTAAAAAGTCTCAAGAGAATAACTTTGGTTTAATGACACATAGAGAAACTTTGGGAATGGGGCGGGGATAGAGATATTTCCTGATATTGTATGTGTGCGGATGTTGAGTTTAATAACTTTGTGATTCCAGGGTTTAAGCGGGCAAGCACATTTTTTTTAAAAAAAGAAAAAGTTTTGTATATATTAATCATCAGCATCATCATTTTTAGTCTTATAGTTCAGTAACTTAACGCACAATCCAGCTGTGTCTACTTAAAAGTAAGTCCTAATGAATTCAAAGGGAATTACTCTTAGGTAAAAGGATTGCAGCCAAAATTGGCAGAATGTGCTTCCAAGCAACTTATGCAGAAATGTGTGCTATTCGCAGTGACTGAATTCGTTCTTTCCTCTCTCTTCAAAATATAGTCCGGCCCCCCCACAAGGTCTGAGGGACAGTGGACCGGCCCCCTGCTGAAAAAGTTTGCTGACCCCTGGCTCTACTCTAAGAATCATAACAGAAATCCCTTGTAAAAGGATAATAGATTCAAAATTATCTATTTGCTCTGCCGATAGAGGTAATTTACCTCAATTTAGCTAAACCTTTAGCCACATTGTCATGATATCATTAAGTGTTTGTTACAAGAACATTAGGAATGTGGCCTTGAGGCTTAAACTAGTTTGATACCGTTGACTCAAATAGTACAAGCTTACTGTGAGTGTGATGGCTTTATCCAATGTGCAAGACAATGAGGGGTTATTTACTTCTCAGGTTGCAGTCTGATATACATCTTAGAGAAGAAACCTGAATGCAACTCAGTCATGCTCAGTTTTAATTGGCTGGTCAACCATTCTGCGATTGGACCATTAGGTGGATGAACTGAGAACATTAGAGTCTTCATTTTTAAAGAGCATGACCAGCCCTCATAATTTGGAAAAAGACCTAGCCTTCTAGAACATTTGTGCCGATGGTTAGGAAGCTAGAGGGAGTCTAGTTATCAGGAAAAGTTTTTTTTATTCTGCTTTGGTCCCAATTTCTTCTTGTATTCAGCAGTCCATTCTGTTGTAACTGTACTCCAAACCTTGTGAATTCTACCCCTTCTTTAAAAACTTTTCCCCACACATCTGATATTGTGCAATCAAAATAAAGTCTGCAGATGAAGAACATTTATGCAAGTGTGTCTAACTCATTTCTTTCAAATTGCAGAATTTAGGTTACAGATTTGGAGCTTTTTAATTTGGAATTTCAGAGTCCTGAAATTAACAGCCTTCATTTCAGAAACAAATGGAGACCAGTGGCTTAAGAAAAAATATATATGGCTGCATTAAGTTTTGAAGCCAGTGCTTTAGCTGGCATGAATTAGTGTAACCCACACTGAAATAAAGTACAGCGTTTACAGGTTAGCTAATCTCATTTTCTTTTCTCAATTATAGTCTTTGGGGAAGGCATTCATTTTAGCACCTCTGCTTCCAGACCGGTGTATTTCCACTTTTAATGTCACATTTAAATGCAGGAGCATATCAACAATTGCAGAATATCACTGCCTAGCCTTGCACTGCCTAAAATGTATTCTGTATGTCATCATAACATAAAAGATGTATTCCCCCAATGACATTCCACTTTGAAGATTTTTGCCTGGTGCAAAGGTGCAGTTATAAGAATAAAATAAATATACGCTGATAGGGAATGAGGAGGGATGAGATAATGGCCAAGGGGGAAAAAAGCAAGATGAATACCATTTAACCCCAATTACAAGAACTGTTTGTACCTCTTTATTATTTTTGCATGCAAATACCAGGAAGTAGGGCGTAGAGAAGGCATCCCCAACCTTCAGCCCTCCAGATGTTTTGGACTACAATTCCCATCATCCCGACCACTGGTCCTGTTAGCTAGGGATCATGGGAGTTGTAGGCAAAATATCTGGAGGGCCTCAGGTTGGGGGTACCTGGCGTAGAGGGACTGTTCCCAAGTGGTAATATGAATGGTACTCCCTCCTTGCACAAAGGGCAGTATCTTGAAACTCTACCAAAGGCGACATCACCGAGGTTCAAAGCAGCCCTGAAGCTCAACGGGTTGGATTAATAGGCTGTTATATCTAAGCCCGTCTCTTCATAATCTTCTTAACTCCTTGAATTCCTAAAAGTCCACGTATTTTGGTGGAAAGTCGCAGCTCAGTGGTGAAGCAAGTGCACACATTTTCATTCCGCAGGTAGGAAACATAGGGCTGCCGTATTTCACAAAGTGAAAATCCAGGCACAAAAGTTGTCGAGCTGTTATTTTGCAGCTATTTTAAATGAAATTCGCCAAAATCTACACTTCTGACATGGACTGCCATACGTCCAGATTTCCCCGGACATTTCCCAGCTATGTCCAGGAAATTCCAGATGCACGGAACATCTGTCCAGAAACCACTGGGATGCTCTTGCCAAGTCAGTGTTGGTGATGCTGAGGAAGATGTGCCAAAGCATGCTTCCTATATTCCTATTTTCTTTCATTTGCCCTTTCTAGATATTTGGTGTTTTCAGCACCTTTATTCAGTAATTTTCTAGCATCACTGTCTGATGCTTCTAAGGAGCAGATGATTGCTCATTTGAAAGATTAAAGCCCAGGAAGAGATTCTGAATTATGTCGTCAGTAAAACCATAAATTATTACCGGAAGATATAACCTCTCCTCCCCTTGTTATCAGCCCAACAGATGCCTTTATAAGTCTTTGGTTCTTTGATACCTTCATGTACATTATTGTCAGGCTGATTGACAGTAAGAAAGATAAAACAACAAAACAGAGATAAATCATTGGGAACAGAAACTAAAGGAGATAACAAAAATGCCACAGGGATTGCAAACGGGGCAGAAACAAACAATGGAAATGATAAATATGATAACTTGCATATCAATGAGTCTCAAATAATGCTTAGTTGTTACTCACACTTGCATAGATCTACTTGATTGAGGTAATTTACATATTCTGAAGGTCATTCCCCACGGAAAGCTGTGATAAAACACTCCGATTATGGCAGATATGTCTCCATGCAGGGGCAGGAAGCCAAGCCCTGTGAAAATCACCAGAGATGGAGGCAGAAGCAATTCCAGAGATAACTCTGCTAACCTGGGCCCACTGTGAACAGGACAACTGTGTGACTGGGCTTCATTGCAGACCCAGAGTTGACCAAACTATGAGGCAAGATAAGACAACTTCCTCAGGTGGCAGGATCCACAGGGGCAGTAGATATTGTTATAGATTTAGGGGCGGGAGCTAAACTCAAGAAATTAATGAATGGTAGGATTTTGATTATTTGGATGTGAAGGGAGAAATACAAGCTGCAGATGAATTCCTGGCCAAGCTAGCATCATTAAGAAACAATACAGAGCCACTGAGGACCATTGGCAATATGGTGATACTATTATTATTATTATTATTATTATTATTATTATTTTATTGTTTATATCCCGCCCATCTGGCTGGTTTCCCCAGCCACTCTGGGTGGCTCACAACAGAATATTAAAAACACCAAACATTAAAAACTTCTCTAAACAGGGCTGGCTTCAGATGTCTTCTAAAAGTCAGTTATTTATTTCCTTGACATCTGATGGGAGGGCGTTCCATAGGGTGGGTTCCACTACCGAGAAGGCCCTTTGCCTGGTTCCCTGTAACTTGGCTTCTTGCAGTGAGGGAACCACCAGAAGGCCCTCGGAGCTGGACCTCAGTGTCTGGGTAAACAAAGGGGGTGGAGACACTTCTTCAGGTATACAAGAGAACTGCTCCTCTTCCCTGAGGTGTGAACAGAGACTGGGGGTTTAGAAGGTTGATGGTAACTGTGTGGGGGGGGGATAGGAAAAGAGAGGTTTTTTAGCAAGGTGTTCTGGGAAGAAAAAAGAAAAAGTAAAAAAAGATTGGGATCCATCTTGGGCAGGCTGGCTGAAGGCTGGCTGGGAGACATGCCTTGGACTCCAAGGCTGCACTGCTATGGGGGACAAGTCCCTCTTGAAGTGACCATTCTTTTTAAAATCTGGACTTCCTCCATTCAGACTGAAGGTGTAAATAATAAATAAATAAATCATATTTCTTAAAACTATGATAGTCTCATCTGTGTCTCAATTCTCCAAAGGAATGCTGACCCTGGGTGAATGCCTGGAACCCAATGGACTCTTCCCACAACTTGAGAGAGAGGGAGGCACCCAACTTTTGTAACAATATTTATCCCCCCCCCTTCTTCCTGATGTGGATCTTCACTCACACACCTTTTTGTGGTTTGTCTCAGGTGCCAAAATGCCTTGGGCCAGCCCTGTTTAGACCACTCACTTCATACATTCATTGAAGTATATCATGATTAGGGATGGGAGAGAAATTATGTCCAGTTCACCTTTAAGAAGAAGAAGAAGAAGAGTTTGGGTTTGATATCCCGCCTTTCACTCCCTTCAAGGAGTCTCAAAGTGGCTAACATTCTCCTTTCCCTTCCTCCCCCACAACAAACGCTCTGTGAGGTGAGTGGGGCTGAGAGACTTCAAAGAAGTGTGACTAGCCAAGGTCACCCAGCAGCTGCATGTGGAGGAGCGGAGACTCGAACCCGGTTCCACAGATTACGAGACTGCTGCTCTTAACCACTACACCACACTGGCAAATCTACTTATTTTGCACGAACCGAAACACAGCTATCCTTCGAAATGAGTGCTTCTCTGAATTCTGCAATGCAGGTCGCCAGCCATTCATGCGCTAGGTTAAAATGTGCCTAGAGATACCTACATTAGTGAAAATGCATTACATAAGGGAAAACTTTTTTTTGCGAAAATGTGAATAATATGCAAAACTGTTTACAAATATGAATATATTTGGAGAAATGTGTAGGAGATTCATGGTAAATTGGAGTCACACCCACACTTCATATGGCCATGAAGAGGCATTGGTAAGATAACATAAAGTTTTGAGATAATAGAACATATTATAACTTTATATTTTCCACCTTATTTAAACTTTTTCACACAGTTACATTGGACGCAGGTACAAGTTTGGGTTTTCTTTCTTTTTCTTTCTCCAGAGTTTGTGAAAACCCACTCTCTAAAGCTGAATTGGAGCAAACAGCAATCCGGGGAAATCCTGAATTGCCCTTAGTTGCACTTCAGCTTTAAAGAGTGGTTTTTTTGGAGGGAAATATCCAGAGCAAAAATAAAAATAAAAAAGCACTCAAAGACACAGACCATGAAAGTGCGGGCTGTACCTGGAAAACACGGAGGAAATGAAAGTGTCCTCTTGCATCTTATAATAAAATATGGGATAGCTCTTTCATTCCAGTAACTTTAAATTCAGCAACTGAAATCAAACCACGGGGGTGGGTTGTGTGGGATTCTTTTTTAAACTTGCCAGCAACACTTAAATCAACATCACTGTGCAGAAATCGTACATTACATAAAATAAACCCCACCGTTTATTTTAATCAAATCTATTTTGAACTGAATTAGTCTCAGTAACCAAAGCTGAACCCAGCTGAGCACACACGCTGCAAAAAGAAATGGCATTATTGTGCAGAAAATTAGCTTGGAATTCATTATATCTTTTAAATAATTTAAGTCGCATTTTGTCATGGAAAAAAACATAAATAGCTAATCGAGATCAAGATTACAAGCTCCAGTAATTTAACAGAGCTATAACTTTGCAACAGAAGTTGTTAACCTCGCTGGTGTTTTCACATCACCATTTGGAACCGTTGCCATTAATAAGAGATTGACACTCTGCAAAGAAAAGAGTTGCTGTGCTCCAAATAAACTATGGTGGGTGAAGCAGTATCAGATTTAATTGCACATCATTTTTTAGTGCTGTCTAATCTAGTGTAAGGTAGTTCAGTAGCTGAGTGTTTGCTCTGCATGCAAGTGGTCCCCTGGTCAATACCTGGCATCCCCAGGTAGGTCCTTGGCCTGGAATTCTGGAAAGATGCTACTAGTCAAAGCACACAGTGCCGAACTACATGGACCAAAGATCTGACTGACAGCTTCCCCACATTTCTGTGTTCATGAATCATAGGCTTTAAAAGGGATCTTGAAGGTGGACAGGTAAAGCAGCTAAAGGCTTCTGGGAGATAATATATAATGAGATGAAAACAAGCATTTCTTTTAGGAATAATTGAGACAGACGTCCCCAAGGATCAAAGGAATTTATTTCTTTATGCAACTACTGCAGGCTGAATTTTATATGCCCCCAAAATATAGGGGATGACAGCAGTCATGAAATTAAAAGACGCCTGCTTCTTGGGAGAAAAGCAATGGCAAACCTAGACAGCATCTTAAAAAGTAGAGACATCACCTTGCCAACAAAGGTCCGTATAGTTAAAGCCATGGTTTTCCCAGTAGTGATGTATGGAAGTGAGAGCTGGAACATAAAGAAGGCTGATCGCCGAAGAATTGATGCTTTTGAAGTATGGTGCTGGAGGAGACTCTTGAGAGTCCCCTGGACTGCAAGAAGATCAAACGCATCCATTCTGAAGGAAATCAGCCCTGAGTGCTCACTGGAAGGACAGATCCTGAAGCTGAGGCTCCAATACTTTGGCCACCTCATGAGAAGAGAAGACCCCTGGAAAAGACCCTGATGTTGGGAAAGATGGAGGGCGCAAGGAGAAGGGGACAACAGAGGACGAGATGGTTGGATAGTGTTCTCGAAGCTACCAGCATGAGTCTGACCAAACTGCGGGAGGCAGTGGAAGACAGGAGTGCCTGGCATGCTCTGGTCCATGGGATCACGAAGAGTCGGACACGAATTAACGACTAAACAACAACAAAAAATGTAGGGAGGGAGCTGTCCGAATGAGGGAGGAGTGGCAGATGAGGATGATGGAACATGCAGAACTGGCGAGTCTAACCAGTAGAATTAGAGAACAAGAGGAAAGGGTGTTTAAAAAGGATTGGAAAGTGTTGTAAACAGGATAAAACGTTGGAATAAATTCAGCAGTCTAGGTTGTGTTGAGATAAAATGAGAGTTACTAGAACATGCAGCAGCAGTAATCGTTGGAGGAAGCCATGGAAAGGTGGAAGGGAAGTCCATGATAATGTACTGTTATTATGAATGTGGAAAAATTACAATGAAAATCACAAATAAAACCCTTAAAAAAGAGAAGGATCTTGATTGTTATCTAATGCAACCTCTGCTCAGAGCAGGATCTGCAATGCAGGATGCAATTGCAGCCCCCCTGACCCTTGCTGGAAATCTCTTTGGATGAGGCAGTGACAAATGCAGGCCTCTTCTTAGTTCACAGTACCATAGAATTGTAGAGTTGGAAGGGGCCACCAGGGTCATTTGGTCCAGCCCCCTGTAATAGACTGAGTCACCAGCACAACTGCTCACAACCACACACAAAAACTCAACAGATGTCAAAAATCCATGGCAGCCTCCTTACTTTCTTTTTCTTTGAAAATTACCAACATTTATAGAATCATGACAAATCTACCGCCTTGGCTATTACGATCGTTACTGAACACACTGATGCATTATTGTTATGTGAGGTGCAGTGAGGTCACTCAATTTCCGTTTCACAACACACATTTACAAGCATTGCTGTTGCTTAAGCCACACTATAATCTTGTCCTCCAGTGCTCTCACCTGCTGAGAAGCAAAGCTTCCCGAAAGTATATTCGAAATACCTCAAGGGCTTAAAATCATACAGCAACAATCCCTGTCCTTAATATTATATTTTACTGTTTTGTTTTCCACCTTGCAGCAGCTTGCTAGGTGCAAAGCACAGTTCTGTGTGTGTGTGTGTGTGTGTGCGCGCGCAAGCCGCCATTGCATTGCTTATTTTTCAAAACAAAGTGAATGCATTTACATATTTTTTCTTCAGATATGGAGATTGAGTATGCTGTCTGTCTAGAAATAGCTGTGATTGCTGTCCTGAATACTGATAATCTTTGATAGATAGGCCAAAACAAGTGACTCCAGTTAATCCAGTAATTCTATGCATACGCTATACACGGAAACGTAGGTGCCAACTCCCTGGGGCCCTGGGTGTCTGAGCACCCACAAAATTCCCCATGGAAAGGCCGGGCACCCACAAATTTTGGTGCCAATGCCTTGCACTCTGCATGGCACCCATGGCCCCAGGCACCCACAGTTGCGCTGCCAAGCTGGCACTCCTGAACAGAAATAAGCTTCACTGAGTTCAAGTGGGCTTACTCTCAGGCAAGTGTATCTGGAATTGTGGATTTTAACTCTACGCACGAGGGGTGATGAAATCTAAGGCTCAGCGGCCTTAGTCTTTGAAACTCCTTCCCAGGCCACACCCACTCTCTCCTGACCACACCCCACATAAGCCCTGCCCCACGCCTTGCTTGAGTGTTTTTACTTATCCGGAATATTTCTTTGAACTGTGCCTTTTGGTTAGCATGGAGGAGATGTGTGCATAGAAACCTCTGGCACGACTGGCTGAAATTTGCCAATTGTGCAAAGGGAAGAGCTGCATGCAATACTCCACCCATTTTTGCCCACCCCTAACATGTAGTCCTTGGAAGTTTGCCCAAGACAGAATGCAGCTCGAACCTGCTGTGTATACCATGGGTCAGTAAACTAAGGCCTGGGGGCCAGATCCGGCCCAATAGCCTTCTAAATCCGGCCTGCGTACGGTCCAGGAATCGGTGTGGATCAAAGAAGGTACTTTTTATCATATGTGGTGGACGTGTCCTAAGGTGAAAGACTTCTGGGAAAAGATTTATAATGAGTTAAAAAAATGTTGAAAAATACATTTATTAAGAAACCAGAAGCCTTTCTACTTGGAATATTAGGACTGGAATTGCCCCCAAAAGATGTTAGACTGTTTTTGTAGACTGCCACTACAGCGGCAAGACTTTTATTAGCCAAAAACTAGAAATCGCAAGAAATACCAACAATAGAAGAATGGCAGGTGAAGATGTTGGACTTTTTGGAGCTGGCTGACCTAACTGGAAGAATCCACGACCAGAAAGAAGAGGAGATACAAGAGGATTGGAAGAAATTTAAAGAATATTTAGCTAAATATTGTGATATAAGATAAATAGAAAATTCTTGGAAATAATAAATAAGCTTGGGAGTAGAATAAGAATATGTGGTAGTAAATATTAAGGATTAAAATATTAATAAAGGAGAAGAGATTAGTAAATGAAAGGAGTTAATGTTATTAGAAATATGAATTTGGAGAACTGTTATACAAGTGACATAATGAAATTCAGATAGAGGGGATTCGAGGAAGTCAGTTATTAATGTAATGAGAATTAGGTATTTGAAGAAACAATTTTTCTTTGTGTTTAGTTTATTGTAGTGTAATGTGTTTTTCTTTGTTGTGTGTTTTGTTATCTCATTTTTGTGATAAATGTGGAAAATCAATAAAAAATTTATTTGGGGGGGAGGAATCAGCGTGGATCTGTTCGTTCGGGCTACACCAGCTTGCACGTTCTTTCCCTCTTCCTCACCCGGCGGCAGCACCTCCTCCCTCCCTCCTCCTGGCTTCTCCCTGCCCTGCCTAGAGCCAAGTGGAAGGGGGCTGGGCTTTGACTGGTGCCAGCAAATACAATATATGCAGTGCAGGTGCTTAGGAATGGGGGCAGGGGGGCAGGTTGCCCCGGGTGCCATCATGGAGGGGGGTGACAAATGATCAAGGAACAATTAC